CACACATGAGCAAAGAATTGTAAAACTGAAGTTTAGTTTACATAACAAAACTATTATGTTGTCTCATCCATTAGTAAAATAAACACTTTCAAAGCAGCATAAATCATTGTACTACTTTATCAATAAAAGGTAATATAAAAAGCACAGTATTTTACAAGCCCCCTTCAGCATCTAGACCCCAGACATCCCAAAGCTAGTGAAGCTTCTACCAAAAAGTATAAACACGAACATGTCAACAGAGTATAACACAGAGATATACTTTATATATGCATATATTATGTGTATACTCTCTCAAAAAGTCATGTTAAAACTATAGGCATATACCAAAACACACTCTGTTTTTAATGTAAACAGTGCTACAGCTCCGGGTTTACAAGGTTTGGATAAATGTAACCACTCTGACATGTGATCAGTCACCAAAAGAAAATTCTATTTATAGAGACCTAGATTTTAAAATCTCTAGAAGTCTCTAACGTTACATACAATCTTTGTTATATAAAATGAAATATTTTACCCTAATCCTAGACTCAGTAAAAAATACATTCTCAGCACCTTGAAGTCAAAGTCCTTTCTTGATTTTATTCAGAGAATATGGATAAAATCTTTCTCCAACATAAATATAAATAGGCTACAACTAATAGTTAACAACTGATTCACTTTTTAAAGTAATTCCAAATTAGTGTTAAAGAATAAACCAGTACTTCTGAGCCTACAATATTTCAAATCCATGCTGCAGTGCAAATGAATAAATATTTTAGCCCAAACTGAAGTTCCTATTTTACTTAGCATTCAGCTCCTTTTTATAGGTCAATGTATGAGGCTAAATAGTTACTCTGTTACACAGACTGAGGGAAGCTGTGTTTTAATGAATAAACTATCTCATCAGCTTGGAGAAGTGTAATTCTCATCAAGCACAAACTGTACTACTTGAGTAAAGTAAATTAAGTCTAACTAAAGGTACCATGATAACAAAGAAAATAATTTTGGTTTCAAGAATTGCAAAGAAAGATGTCATTACAGGAAGTTGGATTAATGCTGACAACATCAAAGTGTTTATAGAAACTAGGAAGCTCTTGCAGCGTTCCTCTCAGTGTCACGTACTTTCTTATCCTATATAACCAGCTATATAAATCTTGCTTACATTTCTGAATAAGTAACTGTATATTAAGCATTAAAAAAAACATCTAACTGGCGGTGATTCCTAGCATTGTTGTTAGTTTTGCTACATTTCTCCAGTTGTATCATTTCCCAGCCAACCTGTCACTAGCCATCTCTTTAAGTCATCCAAGTTATCAAATTTCCAGCTATAGTCATTTAAGTGTTTCTAAAGACAGGGCATCTCATGAGTGCAGCAGCAGGCTATAGTGAACATGCAACCAAAGCAGAGCATTACCAACACTTAATCCAGTACTAAAGGAGACCGCTTCTTAGAATTTATTCTATCCTCAGCGTACTCATTTACAAGAACTAGAAAGGTGCCTTAAGCTGACACAACGTCAATCTTAAATTTTTTTCCCCCCACGGTAAGCTATTTAGCTTACCCATAATGAAACTAACCAGAAAAGGAAATGTTTGCCTTTGGGAAAGAAAACATTTGTGTTTGTACCCGAGGTTATTAGTAACAAACGAATGGTCTGTTGAAAGCCTACGCTGTGCTATCACTACCCTACCCTTTGTCCCAAAGGCTGATTACAGGGAAGTCGCTCACCTTAGGCAAAAGAAGCCATGGAGACAGTTAAAAACTGTCCCCATTTTATTTTATTTCTTGCATTTCAATGTTGATTAATAAGCTTAATAACTGTTACTTGAAATTTAAAAAGCTAATCTTATTTATCTGCTGACTCCTCCCATTTCCCCTAATGTTTATTACCCAAGATTAAAGAGTATACAATTAAACATAGCAAAAAAAGAAAAAATACAATTCTGTAACACCAGCACTTCCCAACTCCTGGAAAATTAACAAACTAGCCCACAGAAATAATTCTTATTTCCTGAAAGGAACTTGATGCAGGTTCTTTTTTCTAGAAGAACATTGTAAATCAGAATGTCTAAAAAATGAGGAAATAAAGTAAGCACCAGGCCCTATGCTAGTAAGAGAAAGACAAGGCATAGGAAAGGAGCTTCTACTTCAGTGGGAGAACCAAACGCTATGCAAATAACTTGAACACAGGCAACTAGACGCAAATTAGCAAGTGCACCACCGAGTGCCCAGGGCAGAGGCACATTCTGCACGAGGGGCTCTTCCGTGTGGCCAAGGGGCAAATCCACCAAAATGGCCTACGACTATCTGCTACAAACACTGCCAGGGGTCCCATCCCTGGTTCCTGAATCAGATCCTCTTGAGTTCAGAAATCTGTTTTTGTTTTGTTTTGTATTAAACAAGGATTCCAATGAATCTGATGAAAGGGGTCCATGGATCACATTGAGTCACATTATAATTTGACTACCACTGTTCTAAGTGAAGGATAAGACTGAATGAACATATACAGGAATGAAAACCCCTGAGAAACAACCTTGTGAAGAGGGCCAAGGAAGCAGAAGATGAGGGTATGCGGGAACTGAGAGGTTATAGGGTATGCGAACTAGTCTAATGAAATACGTTATTGGACTCATATGTAAGCTACTTAGAGTCTTGACTCACACAAAGAGGTTGAACTCTGTTCTGGAAACAATGGAAAATGAGCAAAGCTTTCTGAACAAACCCATTCTGCATGCTTGAACAAGATTACCTGGGAGTCCAAGTAAGAGGTCCTAGGACAACAGAGTAAAGGAGATGGATACAAGAGACTTTTCAGAGGCACAAAAGACACACCCAGGGTATGTAGACAAGAGAAAAAATTGAAAATGACATTGAGGAAAAATTTAAATTAGCCAAGTGCCTTCTCAGTGTCCAACACTATGTCACAGAGCATCCAAAATAAGTCACTAATTAGATGTAATAATTGCACACCTACTATATGTGGCAGGAACCATTAACACTGATGATACACACAGGAAAAAAATCCCTGTCCTCCAGGAATTTAAAATTGGATCTTTCCCTGTTCCTCTTTTCTTGTGTCCCCACTTTTTATCAGAAAAAAAGTTATTTCTGAGACTTGTCTTCTCTTTACCTTTGAGGCCCTGTTTGCTCTTAAAGCATCAGCTGGCTCAAGTCAAGAACATGCAGGTTCTCATCCTGAGTGGTTCTACCTATCAGTTTTAATGGCAAATCAATACCTAGAAATCTTTTCTCAACAACAACATGAGTCTTGATGTAAGACTGTAGGATGTGGATGTCCAAATCCAAGTGTCAATGAAGTCCAGCTTCAATTAAATGGACTTCGGAACTTTCCTACAAAGAACTTTAAAGTACAGTCGTTTGTTTATTCCTTCATTCAGTATGTACCATGTGTATGCTATTATAGATGGATGTTTCTTCCCTGTCCTGGAAGGATGAATCCCATCCTGAGTAAACTTACAGTGGGAAAGTGTGGTCGATCAAGAAAATGAATGAAGAAGAAAGGAGAACAAGCAGCACTTGAGAACAGGAGGGAGGGTGAAGGGAGACAAGAAAGGGTATGCAGAGGAATTTATGCAAGCAAGTCTACTGAAAATAAAATAGCAAATACTGATTGACCAAAGGACAAACAGTAACCACAAGTCTGAGACTTGGGTAAAAGTCACCTGTCAAGTTAAATTCATAACTTTCAACATATAATGCTGCCAGCTACTCAATTTTACCAATAATATGAGATAGTTTCTGCCTTTCATTAACGGAAAAATTACTCAACAAGATACACACATCGAAGAACTACACAAGACAGTACATAGTCGAGTGCTAGCTTGTATGATACACAAGAGCCATAAATCAGAGAAAACAGATTCGGGTATCAGTTTCACAAAAAAGCTAACATGAACACTTTTCTAGAATTTTTAATAGCCAAGACTGCTTCTGAGTACTAACTGTGACAGCAAAGACTGCTGGCTGTATATCACTTTGTAGCTGCACCCATAAATGGGGATCACTTTAATGTTGGTGACATCATCAAACACCTTTCCAAGCAGTTTTACTTTCAACTGTCACTTTATTTTGATCACATAAAACACAGACCTGAACCACCTCCAAACTACACACAGTCCAGATTATCATCATTCCTGGGACCGTTCTAGTCTTTGGCAAATAAAACCCAGAATACAATCAAAGCATTCATAATTAAATTACAATACACTTGATTTTTTTTAAAAAACCTATTTAATATTTTTATATCTTTAACCTAGATCAGATCCTTTCTTTTCCACTCTCTCTTCAATGTTGTGTAACAGCCACTAAGTTTTATGGGTAGTCTTGTTTAAGACAAAGTAGAAAATAACATAAAATAAATTCTAGGTGCTTCTCATGTGAAACAAAGGTACAAAAGGTAACTAAGATTATTTTGTTTTTTAAGATTTTGTAAAATGTGCTTTAGAAGCCTTAAAAAACATATAGAAATGCAAATATATAAAAGCACAATGACTGTTAGGGGCTTTAATCTCTCTATACATTATATAATATGTACATTACATATCTATATAGACATATATGTATCAATGGTATCACAAAATGAGTACCTCTAAAGACTAAATAACACATTTGAACAATGAGGCTCAGTTACTTAACACTTCAGCCAAGAATCAATTTAGGTGAAGTTTAGGTCAGTTTTTTAGGAGAAATACTATTACTATAAATAGGAAGAAATTATTTTCAAAAAAATAAAATAAGAAGAAAGTGCCTAAGAAAATCATTATGATCTTACTTTCAAAAAGGAAAAGTGATCAATTAAGTATAATAGCTTTACCAAATCTACGGGGTTTACCTTGCTTTCAGTTGCTTAGTTAAAAAGCTCATCTGTATAGCAATCCAAATTTTTGAGGCTAAAATTCTGAAGATACATTATATTGTGGAATTTGGTGAAAAAGGTGTGTTAGAATCAGAATAAATGTCATTAAAATAAAATCATGTTTTAAAAGAACTAATCTCTTACCAGCTGAAATTCTCGACGTCGGTCATAAGCATTCTGTATGCCACTGTCTGCCCATAACGCTCTTATAGCAGGAAGATATTGTAAAAAAACTTGAGTTTCCACTATTCCTTTGGCCACTGAGGGGGACCGGGTGTCAAACGCCATCATCTTGTCTCCATTGGGTTGATTTGAGTTATCTCCCCAAGGTATATGAAGCTTCTCTCGAGCATCTACCAGCACCCTCATACCTTTGTTTAAAAAGGAAAAGAAAGTTGTGATAGGAGTCATTAGATATTCTCAACTTCTATTCTAGTATTACTTTCTTCAACTTTACTCCAGGCCCACCTCCCCCAAAGAAACCAACATCCAAATAAACCCCCCATAACTTCTCAGAGCTTAAAAAACTAACAGTTGTTCAGTCATAAAATTAGAGCCTTGCAAAACAAAGACTACTAACACAACTGCTCTTCCTGAACATGTTCTAATTTATAAAATAATTTCTAGAGTACAAGGTCATCACAAGAGAACCAAAATACTGAAGGAAAGATAAACTGTGCTGCATAGCTTGGCGTCCCGGCTCTTATGAAAGAGCTGCAACCAAGATTTTATGAGCCCCTCAAATAGACATTTATGAAATGCCAAGAATTCAACATTATTGCTCTGTGTTCTGTTTGTTCCCTGAGCACCCTGATCAACGCAACACTGAGTCTTCTAAAAACACATGCAGAACTCCAAAACTTCTCCCATATCAAGCTTCTCATCAGTGTAAGTCGGAGGATGGCCTTAGATTTCCCTAAAAGGGAGGAAGACTTAAGTGCAAAAAAGATCTAAAAACCCCAGAGATTTCAACCCACAAAGATGAGTTCAAACCCAGTTATCTATCACTGAACTACCTGTGGTCCATCTCAACCACAACATGACTACAAAGTCATTTGTTTGGATAAGTGAAAAACTGTTTTGCTGTCAATTTTCTCACCATGCCAAACTCAAAAATACTAGATGTCTAGTGACTTCACCTCATAATCAATGTTCAAAGAGGGTCACACTTAGGACCCCAGTGCACATTAAGAACCAGGTGTTTACCTGGCTCATAATCAGGTAACATGTTCACTATTCATTAGTAAGTCCTCATGTTCAGCTGCATCAGGACACAAAAGTACCTTCAATTAAGGATTGGCTAAGGTGGACCCACGACTATTCTGTACAGCCTGAATGCAGTAACATCAGGGTTGAGCTTGCTGTGGTCGGTGAGCTCCAGGCCTAGTGCTCCTCTCCTGCAAAACACTGCACTACTTCCCCCACCCCTTCAGGCAGTTTTCCTATACTACATCCTGGGAGAAAAAAGAAGTGACAGAAGTTGCTTAAGTTAATCTTCCAGAACCAAAAGAAAAAAAAAAAAAAAACCCCAATTAAAAAAAACACTGCTTGAAAACACCTGAAATCTGTAGCAGACTCCTGGATAATTGCTACGCAGATGAAATACAGAATCCTGATGCACCTGAAATGCCAGGCTCTGTATCTCAATTTTGCCAAAATGCCCTTTTATAAAGTAGAAAATACTTGATCCTGAGAAAAATGAGTGCTAATTATTGCTCAAATGAAGAAATAAAAGCCATCTTCTCTACTTCTCTGAAAGCATAAAAGATTCTTGTGTATTTTTCACTAAAGAACAAACTTTAAAAATACTGTCAAATGGAAGCAGAGCCTACCATCCAAGCTGACACTGATTCATTTACTCAACCTATACAGCCTCCACATCACTTTTAGGCCAAAGATTCTTTATATCATGCACCATTTCATTTAAATAGTAGAAGCAAGCGGTGGTAGCCCCCTCCTCTTGGCCCCAGTTATTAAGCAGAAAGAGTGGAACGTGTTGCATAGCGATTACAGGCAAACATCCTGCCCGACCGTGACATTGGGGCGAAAAACCACTGATGCTAATTTTTTTCAGACTAACTAACTGTACGTGTCTACTCTTTCCTGATGCCAGCACAGTAAACAGGACACCCTGAAGTTTCATATCCTTGCCTAAAAAGGGCCCAGGGGTTGTCACCCTTCGCCCTTGACAAGAATCTCGGGTAAAAGTTTCCTTATTGGGACGGTTCCAGAACTCCCCTGGTCAGGGGGCGGCCGAGAAAGCACGGAGATGGGAGCAGGCCGACCCCATGTGACTCGGGTCACCCACCCGGGCGGCGAGGTGGGGCAGCGGGGCCGGGGCGTAGGGGCTGGGTTGTCCCTCTCGGGTCTTCCTGCGTTTTCGGAGGGAGGAAAAGAGGCGCGGTCACCCGCACCCCGAGGCACCCTTCTCGCCTCGCGTCCCCTCCCCTCCGAGGGGGCCAGGCTAGCGACTGGGAGGGGGGCGGGGACCAGACTTGACCCCGACTCGGACCACAGGGAGAAAGAAGGGCGTCCCTGGGCATCCTCTCCCCTGGGGGCGCGGGCACCCGGGCGGGCAGGCCCGGCGGCCGGGGCGCAGCGGCCGAGGGCGGTGCCCGGCTCCGCCCGGCCGCCGCCGCCCCGGCCCCTCGGCCCTCCGGCCCCCACTCCCACCCGGCACCTTTGATCACGTTGCTGTAGATGGTGGCGCGGAACTCCTCGCGCGCTTGCTGGTCGAAGTCCTGCCCATGGATGATTCGCATCTGCTTCAGGAAGGTGGACTTGCCGCTCTCGCCCGCGCCCAGCAGCAGGATCTTCACGAGCCGCTTCACGTAGGTCTTCTCCCGGGACAGGCATTTGTCGATCTCCTTGGACTTGCGCTGCTGCTCGGCCTCGCCGCTCGTCAGGACGCAGCCGGGGAAGCACACGGACAGCACGGACCGCGACGGCAGGAAGTCCGCCATCTTGCCGCCGCCGCCGCCGCCGCCGCCTCGGCGAATCCCTCCGGCTCCCTCCACCTCCTCCCCCGGCGGCGGGCGGCTCCGGCACCGCGGCTCGAGGGCGGGGAGCGCAGCGGCGGCCCGAGCGCACCCGGGGAGGGAGGGAACGAGTGAACTGACTTGCAGGGCGGGCCGGGCAGGGCGGGCCAAGCGAGCGGGAGAGGGAGGGAAAGAGGGCGGGCCCGAGAGGGGCGGTGGCCCCGGGGCGTGCGCGCGCCCGCTGCCCCCCGGAGGCGCGCACGCACGTGGCCTCTTCTGCCCGCCTCCCGCCCTGGGCGTGCCCGCGGCCGCCTCCTGGCGCGCGCAAGTGGGGGAGGAGCGGGGGGGGGGAGAAACTGGGTATGGTCACGTGGTCTCCGGCCGGGCTGGGCGCCTGGAGCCGGGCGCGCGACTGCGGAACTCGACTTTCTGTTTTCCTTTAATGAGCTGTGCTCACTTAGGGGCGGAAGGGCTACTTCCCAGAGCCCTGGAAGCCGGAGGCCGGGACGCCCCAACCACTCCCACCGCGCTTACTCCTGGGTTACGTGCCCGCCGCCTGCTGTCAACCGTTCGCGCGCCCGTATTTGAGGCCTTTAGCTCGAATGTTACGGGAACAGCGGGCGCGAGCCTGGAACGTTTTTGGTGCATTTTCTTAAAGCGGCTTCTTTGGCATCTGCTCTCCCAAATCCAGAACGACAACCACACGTCATCTATCCCCAGCACCCCCCAGCTCTTGTTGGCATGCTCAGACCTCCGAGAAGACCCTCCATTGAAGAGAAGGAACCTGAGTTGATAGGAATCTGAGATGTGCTAGGAGAGGTTGTTAATGTGTCATTAATGTGGATTGCCGCTGGAGCTGCAGCACTGAAATCAGTGGATGGTAGCTGCAGAAGGGTGAGGTCATGGTGAAAATCCCCCTAAACCGGACACTATGAAGCAGACTCTTCCCTACAAGGAAGCAGATAAGCAAACAGACCGAGGGCCAGAGCAGGCAAATTTTAGGTTTCCTGCCAGATTACAAAGGATATGACCAGCCAAGGGACTTTTTTCTGTCGTAACAACAGATTCAGGCCAGGACACCTGAAAGGGCTGCCAGGAGACGAAGACAAGTGACAGCTGGGTTGGCAGAGAGACGGCGTAGCAAGGACCCCAGAAGCCAGCTTCTTCACTCCTAGTATTTGGTTTCAAGTGGAAAAAATCATTTTGGTCTGTGTCTGTTTTTGGAGCCATAAGGCTCCTTGATTTGGGCTCCTGTGCCTCAGAAACAGCCTATGTGTTAGGGAATTGAGGTAAGAGGCCACAACTCTTAAGAAGCTCATAAAAAGATTTAAATAAAAAAATCAGGCAGGGTTTATCAGTTTACCATCAGGGTTTGCTTAATGGCTGAGAAGCCTCATGACTCAGTAAACTGGCTGTAGTAAACAATGCCTGTAGTAGGATTTTATCTCCTATTGTCCTGGCCAAGCCATAGGTTGGACAATCTGCAATATACAAAGTAGAGTAGGCTCAACCACAGTACGTATGGATTGATAAGGTCAGAATCACTGGGTGGTACCTTCAGACAGAATGTTTGGTAAAAATCCTACCCTGGGAGTAGCCTTGGCCCCCAAGCACCATTTCTGCATGGGACTCCAGATGCTAATCTGGAATCCTACAAAAACAAGAGAAAGGACGCCTATAAATTAGGCAGTTAATGTCTTCTTTTTTATTTTTCCAAAAGTGTACACAACATAATAGAGAACCAGGATGCCTAGGAGGCAGGAAGGTAATTCCTGCCCAGCCAGTTCATGTTGTTACATGTGGAACAGCAGAGAAAACTGTTCAAAGCTTTGCCTATGATCTTGCATACTGGAACCAGCTTGGCTCAGATAGACCCTAGGTGCTCTACCCAGCGCTTCTGAAAAAGTTCTTTGGGCCCAGCCTAGGGTTTGACAGCAGCAGTCCAACTACTTCTGACTGTCTGGTAATGCAGCCACCTTGAAACTGTAAGCATAAAAATGAGTTAGAGGTTTTGTGGCTCCTCAGAAAGTTAAACATATAATTGCCGTATGACCCAGCAATTCCAATCTTAGATATATACCCCAAATAATTGAAGACAGGTGTTCAAACAAAAAGTTGTACATGTATATTCATGGCAGCACTATGTAAAACAGCCAAAAGGTGAGAACAACTCGTATGTCCATCAGTGGATGAATGGATACGTAGCATATTCATTCAGTGCAATTATCAGCCATTAGAAGAAATGAAGTACTGACACATGCTACAACATGGATGAACCCCAAAAATATTGTGCTAAGTGAAAAACGCCATGCATAAAAGGCCACATATCATAAGGTTCCCTTTATGTGAAACATCCAGAATAGACAAATCCATAGAAACCACAGGTTAATAGTTGTCAGAGGGTGGGGGAGGCAAGAATAGGGAGCTACTGCTTAATGGGTACAGGGTTTCCTTTAGGGGGAATGAAAGTGTTTAGGAACTAGATGGTGGAGATGGCTGCAGAATGCTGTGAATGTACTAAATGCCATTGAATTTAAATGTATATTCACATTTGATGATGAATTTGATGTTATGTAAATTTTACCATAAAAGAAAAAATGAGGCAGAAAAAATATTTCCCATAAAAGAAAAGTCACTGACATCATTCAAAACTGAAATGCCCATAATGTGAATATTCAATAGATGAAAGTGCAACTGTGTTTGTCTTAAAGTAACACTAACAATTTAAATTATTTGCACCAGAAGCAAATCTAGTCTAACAGCTTCAGGTTACATTGTAATGATACTAGTGATATTTTAATTTCCAGATAGTTTCATAACTGAAAAAGAAAATTCAAACTTTCTAAGTGCATATAGTCTACTGGTTAGACCTGAATCTGCTTGTGCTCTATTTCCAATAGGCCCAGACGTTAACTCATTGGAAACACGTCTGTAAGGTTGTTTGCCTAGCCAGTTAACCCATATGCAAATGAGGGATTCAGAGGCCCCTAGGAGCTGTGATAAAATGAACAGCTGATTGGTTGCAATGCTCTTTTCTTTCTGGAAACTCAAAAGTCTGGTGGCAAACAGTCTTGTAAGATAAATAATGAAGATGTAACTAAAAATGTGGAAGTACATTTGCAAATGGCTTTTCTCCTCTAATGTAGTTACCTTAGAAGGGAACAAGGCCTTTTCCAGCAATACTGCCAGTTCTCGAAACTGACTGGTTAATTCTTCCCTTGGAACTGAAGGATACTCATTCTATATTTTTTCCTAGTTTTTTTTCCCACTAAAAAGAATGGTATTATTTAGCTCATTTACAAACCTTTGTGTCAAATAACTTTGGGCTATTTACAAATCAGTATTATCCACAAAGAACAAAAATGTGTCACCCTTGGACATATTCAAAAGCATGTGCCAGGGGCTCTAGGAACAATTCCAAAAGACAAGTCAAAAAAAATTTTTTTGAATGATGGGAAATATAATTTAAATATGTGTTTTGCCTGCCAAGGTGACTACTCACTACTCAGGATAGGACAACACCCATTTAGATATGTTTATTTAAAAATCAGGTACATTACTTGATGGTTAAACCTTGTGTTCATTTTCTAATAAGGGTGACGACACAACTCTGTCCTGCCTCATCATCAATTGAAATGGGTTGATTTTAATCCTTTATTACAGCTAGGACAGGCGTAGATTTTTCATATCCTGCTTTCCATACTAGAAAAGGAAGGGAATTCCTTAGCCCTCCCAGAATACAAATCCCTTATATGTGCATGAAGTTTTAAACTCCGCAAAGCACTTTGACCCACTTTATCTCATTCTCTGCTCACAATAGCCTGACAAGGAACACCCTGCCTTGACCTCACTCCCATCACACACAAGGAAGCTGAGCTCGGGGCAGAAACGTTTTCAGTGACACGCTGGAAGCCTCACTCAGCCAGTTGCAGAACCAGAACCGGAAGTCCCCTCTGACTCTGAATTCAGTGTTCTTTCTGATATGCTAAAGTGGCAGCAGTGCCCCGAATGCCCAGATGTATGTTCAAATTTAAGATGCAAGTAGCTAACTGTGCTTAACCATGAAGCACCACAGTCTAGTTCTGTGGGTCGGCTGTTTGGATGGTCTTTGCATCCCCTTTCATGCCAGCTGCACCTCAAAGTTTACCAGCCCTTAGGCTGATTCTGGTAAAATGTTCCATTCTTTGAGCTCAGGTTAGTACAATGGTGCAGGCAGCTTATGTAGATGTAAGAAAGGAGGAGTCAAAGTTTATGGCAACATTTGCATGGTGAGCAATCCCCAGATGTTCCCTTAATGTGAATTAGACATGAAAGGGCAACTTTTTTGGTGATGAAGTTTGGTAGGTGCCCTTACCAAAATAAGTCTCTCATGTGCATAGTTTTGTATGAGAGACGTGGAATTGCCTTGTTGGTGGGGTTTTTGTTGTTGTTAATGGAAAACATGACTTTAATTACTGGTATTTTTCTCAGTCTCTGAAAAAGATCCGTGAGCTGCTGTTGACCAGCTGTGACCTCACTCAGCTTATCCAATGGCAGAAGCCTGTGCTGTCTTAAAGGCACACCCCAGCGTGCCTACAAACCCTTATACCCTGCTTACTGCCTTGGATGCGTTTATGGGCAATCTATTTATATAACACTAAACACAAGTTTTGCTTGTAAATCTGATATTCTTTCTGAGAAATGCAAAACATCCTGCTCAGTCCGACTCCTTTATTTTCCCTATGGCTTTTAAAGATGAGGGATACTTTCTGTGTTTTATTGTCTGTGAGTGGACTGCCCCTTGCCAGAAACTCGCCTTTAACATTAAGTTGTTTCTCTGGGGAAGTTAAAGTCTGTAAAGTCTTGACTGTTTCCTGCGTCTTAAAATCATCTCCCAATCCGGTGGGAGCGGGTTTTTTGCTCTCAGAACACTGGCTTAGCAAGCTTGACCTGCCGCTTCCGGGAACCACACTCCTGGCTAGCTGGCTAGCTGGCTAGCCAGGTGGTGTCACATGTCACAGGCTGTCAACCTACCCTTTGTCTCACTATAAATGACAGCGTGCGTCAGCTTGTTGAGTTGACCATTGAGCAGTAAGGGCTTACCCAGCAGCGCTGAGAAATGGTCCATATATGT